GGTCGGGGGAGCTCCCCGGAGCCGGGCTGGGTCTGCCCGCGCTGGTTGCTGCTCCAGCCAGGCGTGAATGTTACACTCACCTCCCAGCAGGGCTGGGGAGGGACGAGCTACCTGTACACCCGTCGCAGCCCTGCCATCTCCGTCCCTGCCCTGCCATCTCTGTCCCTGCCATCTCCGTCCCTGCCCCGCCATCTCCGTCCCTGCCATCTCCGTCCCTGCCCCGCCATCTCCATCCCTGCCATCCCCATCCCTGCCATCTCTGTCCCTGCCATCCCCATCCCTGACATCCTCATCCCTGACATCCTCATCCCTGCCCTGCCATCTCCGTCCCTGCCCTGCCATCACCTCCCACTAACCCAGGGATTCACTCCTGCTCTCTGGGAGCCCCCAGGTGTGGGGCCCTGGCTCTCACCTGGCTGTAGGGGTTGGGTTTGCTGTTGGGGGACACGTAGCGCCCGTGGCTCTGGTACTGCAGGTACTCAGCCATGGGGTGGTAGGAATCCTTCTGGCTGAGCAGGTCCAGCTTCCCTCGGCTCTTGCGGCGGCAGGTGCAGGTGGACTTGGGGAGAGAGAGGGGTCAGGGCTTGGCTGGTGAGGGGACAGGGATGGGTGCAGGTGAGGGATGGGCATGGGGCCTCACCATCAGGAGGAGACAGGTGAAGATGGTGAACAGCAGCAGGATGCTGACCAGGACCAGCAGAGCGATGGCCCAGTCTGGGATCATGGGTGCTGGAGCTGGGGATATCACTGCTGCAGAGCCTGAAAGGAGCAGAGCTGTGTGTGCACCACAGGCAGAGCTGGGACAGAGCCCTGAGAGGTCCCTGGGACAGGACACAGGGTCTGAGCCCTGCTGGGAGGGATCCTGCCTGACACAGGCACTGGGAATGTGCCCCACCCTCTGCAAGCCCCAAGCCCATCACAGCACCAAGCAAGCCCCTGCCTCAACCAGGACAGGACAATGCTTCTGGAGCCCCCCAAGCTTCCCCCAGGCTCCATCCCCCTCCCTCCCCAGCCTCTCACTCTGGATGCTGTCCAGCTGCAGGCCCATGATGAAGCCATTCTGGTCCAGGCTCTTCCTCAGGCGCTGCTCAGCAGCATCAGCAGTGACAGCATCGCTTCCATTCCCAAACACGAGGGTGGATTGGACCTGCACCGAGCCTTGGCTGCATGGGAGGAGACATCAGCACCCAGACTGCCCCCTGAGGGGGTACAAACCAGGGGGATACACTGCAGCACACCTCAGTGGCGCTGCTGCTGCTCACCTGTACTGCAGCTCACTGCACCCGGTGTAGGTCTGCGTGCCCATGCAGCCCGGGCAGCCAAAGACGTGTTGGAACTGGAAGGAAGCATTGAGGTCATGGCCACCTCCCCAAGATACAGACACAGACACCCCCCTTTCCTGTCTTCATGCAGAACGGGATGCCCTGGGTGCTTCCATGGAAAGCCCCAAATTGAGCTGGCTCCTTCCCAGCACAGCCCAGGGACCCTGCCCCAAAGTGAGGGGGGTCCTTCCCAGCAAATCCTCTGCCCCAAATTGAGGGAGCTCCTTCCCCGCACAGCCCAGAGCCTCTGCTGGTGGGGCTGGGACTCACCATGGTCAGGACAGTGCGGCTCAGGCTCCTGTAATCCTCTGATGCTGGGTCACGCAGGCTCTCGTTGAAGCTCCTGTTGATGATACGGAAGGACAGCGGGACACGGACGAGCAGCCGGGCAGGACCAGGCAGCTGGGCTGAGGTTTTGCTGGGGTTGGGACCACCCTGGGTGGGAGATGTGCTGCCCTCGGACGTTATCTGGGTGGGAAAAACCTGAGCACTGGTGCTCCCATTGCCTTTGGTGCTGCCGTGCATGGTGGTGGGAGCGGCAGAGCTGCCATTGGTGCCAAGGTGGGGTGCCCAGCTGCTGCTGTTTGAGGTGGCATTGGCACGGGGCATGGCTGGGCTGCTGGGGACAGGCACCACAGTGCCATTGGATGTGGCATTGCTGGTGGAGTGGTTGCCAAACTGGAAGTTCGTGGTGTTTTTGCCAGGGAAAGCGGTGGCATAGGGGAAGACAGGGGTTTGGGGCCGGCTGGCCCGTGTGCTTTTGGGGAATATATTTGGCAGCCAGGTGCTGGCGGTGCTTTCCGTGGTCATCTCCACCGTGGTCGTTTCAGTGGTTTCCATCTCCATGGTTGTCTCGGTGGTCATGGCATGGGTACCTGGAGGAAACCGTTGGAGTCAATGCCTGCAGCCCAATCAGGGAAGGTTTCACCCAAAACACCTCATCAGCTGGGCACTGTGGGCAGCACCACAACCCGAGCACCCACAAGGCAAACAAGACCTTCAGCAACACCCCAAGATCGGGCACTTCTGGCACCACAAAGGGTCCAGGTGCAGCTGGCTGGGCACTGACACCAGTGCCATGCCCAGCACTGCAAACCCTGGCATGCCACCCAACAAAGCCCCCCTTGCTGTGGGTGACAGGCTGGGTGCCCTGGTGCCCTCCAGACCTGCCTGGCCTGGCTGGGGTCCAGCACAGGCAGCTCTCGGGCAGGTTCCCAGCGGGGTCTGGGTGCTCAGCGGGACACACCTGCATTCCAGCCCGCCAGCCCCGGGCACAGCCTGCTCCGGCTGGTCCCGGCACAGCCCAGCCCTTGGCCGAGCTGTGGACATGGCAGAGGGGCCGTGCCCTGAGCCCCCAGGTGCCAACACACCTGGGCATGACCAACCCGGGGTGCTGCACCCCAGAGCCAGAACAGGGTGCCAGGATGCCACTGGTTACAGCATCCCCCGGTCCCCACTTTGATAGGGATCCCACTCTGCTTCCCCTGCCCCTCACCTGTGCCCAGCCCCTCACCTGTGCCCAGCACCAGCAGCAGCAGAAGGACAGGGAACGCCATGGGGCTCATCCAGGGGGTGCCGGCGCCTCTCGGGGCTCGGCAGCGGCTGCTCTCCCGTTAGCCCGTGGCACACTCCTCACTCCAGGGATCCGGAACTGGCAGCTCGGCAGCGGCCTGAGCTTTATAGAGCACCTGGAGCAGGTGGGGAGGCCCCGCCCCGCCGCCGGCTCCAGGCAGGGGGGGTCGTTCTGCCCCGCTTGGCACAGGGGTGCCACGGCGCCCAGGGGGTACCCGCAGCATCAGCCCCCCAGGCTGGGTCCTTCACGCTTCCCTGCTCTGGAGATGTCACTGGCAGCGTCCCCGTGCCACGGGTGGGCACAGCCCCGGTGGGCACCGGACGGGACAGCAGCCGGGCATCCTGGGGCAGGGGTGGAGCAGCATCTGCCAGGCTGCCCACGCTGAGCTACCGACCTTGTGGGGGGCACGGGGGGCACACGGAGACCCCCAGCCCCTCGCGCAGGGGGGGCCTCATCCTCCGGCTCAGCCCAGGGTTAATCATTAGCGGCTGGTCATCGCCTCGCCCTACACTCAAATAAGCAGCGGTGACCCCCCCGAAACGATTACGCAGGTACAGCCCAGGGCCCCACCACATCCCAGCACCTCCCAGTAAGCTCCCTCCAAGTGCCAGGGCCCCCCCAGCAGGTACAAACCCCCATCCCCAGCCAGGACACGGGGGATGCCAGGTGCCAGCGCCCCACCCCACAGGTAATGGGCACCGCCCGTGCCTGGGCGCAGGTGACATGGGCTCCTGGCACGGATGGGCATCAAAAGCTGCTGATCCCACTGTGCAGAAATTCCTGATCCCTGGGAGGGCCCCAGTGTCTCATCAGGGTGGTGATTCCTGTGGGGGTCCCAGTTCCTGGGGTGGTTGTGGTTGGGGTCCCCACATTTGGCTCCTGGCCAGCCTCGTGTGAGCCCAAAGTGCCACCCCAGGCATGCCAAAGGGTTCTGAGGTGGTGCTGAGAAGGGGAGCAGAGAGGGGGGACCCTCCATGCTGCAGTGATTAAGGGATGGATGTGCAGGTGGGGTGGGACTCAGCACCACTCTGCTCCCCCCACAGCAGCCACAGCCTGGGCAAGCCAGGCCACGTGCAGGCAGCTGCAGGCAGGATGCAGGCAGCACCTCTGGGCAAACATTTCCTTCCCAAAAGGCCTCACCAGGGGAAAGGCTCTCCCCGTGCAGTGATGCTGACCCTGCTGCCCTCTGCTCCAGCCCTTATCCCCCTCCCCACGCAGCTCCAGGAGTTTTCCCCTGAGCCAGCCATCCCCCCCAGAGTGAGGGCTGCAGTTTTCCTCCTGCAGACCCCACAGAGGACACACTGTGTGTGGGGCTGAGGGGCAAGAAGGGGTGCCAGCAACTGCTCTCACCCACCAGCCCTGGGAGCAGGGGCCATTAGCCCACCCTGTCCATGACCAGTGGGTCCCATGTGCCCACCCTGTCCATGCTCAGTGGGTTCCATGTGCCCACTCTGATCATGCTCAGTGGGTTCCATGTGCCCACCCTGCCCATGTCTGGTGGGTCCTGTGTGCCCACCACCCCATGGGTTCCATGTTTTCACCCTGTGTCTTAAGGGTTTTATCAGCCCAACCCCACCCTGCCCAAAGAATTCTGTGTGCCCAACCTCGCCGTGTCCAGTGGGTCACATGTGCCCACGCCCACCCTGTCTGGTGGGCCCTGTGTGTCCACCTTGTCCATGCCCAGTGTATTCCCTGTGTCCAGCCTGTCTGTGTCCAGCCTGTCCGTACCCGGTGGATCCTGTGTGTCCAGCCTGTCTGTGCCCGGTGTGTCCCCTATGACCACCCTGTCTGTGTTCGGTGGATCCCCTGTGTGCAGCCTGTCCATCCCTGGTGGAATCCCTGTGTCCAGCCTATCAATGNCTGAGGACACGGGACGAGGGCACCATCTCCAAACCTCAGCAGATCATAACCCACCTCAGGAAACAGGTACAGAGGGGCTTGGGGCTGCCCTGCCCTGGGCTGATGGGTGCTGGAGCCCCTCAGGGTGGAGGTTTTGTCCCCCACGGATGGGATTTGGGTTATCCCATGGGATTAAATTGGTGTTTTCTCTGCAGAAATACAACGCTGACTACGACCTGTCAGCCACGCAGAGCGCGGACACGCTGGCCTTCGTGTCCCTGCTGGAGGAGAAGCTGCTGCCAGTACTGGTGAGGCTGCAGGAGAGGGAGGCTTGCTGGGGATGGGCTTTGCTCCCTGGAGCTGTGCAAGCAGGCTTGGGTGTGCCCAGCTGCCAGCAGCAGCATCCTGGGGTAGGAGTTTGGGGGTGGCAGCCGTGGATTGTGCAGCCCAGGCTGGGGTCTGCCCTTAACCCCAATGCTCCTGCAGCCCCTCGTGCTCTCCGGGGTGGCTGTGCCAGGCAGGGGCTCTGGTGTGCCAGCAGCTCTGCCGTGGCCAGGCTGTGGATTGTTCTCCACCACAGATCCACACTTTCTGGGTGGACGCCAAGAACTACGTGGAGCACACGCGGAAGTGGTACGCGGAAACCATCCCCTTCCCCCTCAACTTCTTCCTGCCCAACGCCATGCACAAGCGGCACCTGCAGCGGCTGCAGCTCATCTGGGGGGATGACTACATGGAGGATGAGGAGAAGCTGGAGAAGGAGGTGAGGGATGGGGTCTGGGCACAGTGGGTTCTCACAGGGAAATCCCTGTGAGGCTGTCCTGGGGTGACTTCATGATGCTCGTATCCCCATTTGTGTGTTTAGCCCAGAAATAAGCTTTGCACCTTTAAGATTGGCTCTGAAAAAATCCAAACTGGGGTGTGGGTTCCCCCCTCCTGCTCCCCTGAGCACTGTGGTGGTACCTGAGCAGGTGACAACCTCTGTCCTCCTCCTGCAGCTCTACCGGGAAGCTCGGGAATGCCTGACACTCCTCTCCCAGCGCCTCGGCTCCCAGAAGTTTTTCTTTGGAGACTCGTAGGTGGCCATAGTGGGGAGGGGAAGGGGCCTGAGAGCCTCCACACCCCAGCAGGACTGAGGCCCTGTGGTCTGCAGGGGAGCTGCAGCCACTGTGGGGGCAGAACAGGCTCACAGGGCACAGGCCACTGTCCCAAGGAGGGAGAGCCATGTGCTGTCCCCTGGGGGAGCTGGGGCTGGCAGTGCCTGGTGGCTCTGGGTGGCTTTGGGTGGGGACAGTGGCCCAGACAGGGCTCTCTGTGCCCCAGGCCGGCCTCCCTCGACGCCTTGGTCTTCAGCCGCCTGGCGCCGCTCCTGAAGGCGAAGCTGCCCAACGGGAAACTGCAGCAGCACCTGAAGTCCCTGCAGAACCTGTGCAACTACTGCACCTCCATCCTCAGCCTTTACTTCCCCTGGGACGGAGGTGAGAGCCATCCCCCACCTCACCCTGCGGCTCTGGGGGTGCCCTGTCCCCCCCAGGTGCATCCCCACCCTCTCAGGGTGACCCTTCCCACCCACACCCCATCTCTGCCCCTCCAGGTGACCCTTCCCACTCACACCCCATCCCTGCCCCTCCAGGGTGACCCTTCCCACCCACACCCCTGCTCTGCCCCCCTCCAGGGTGACCCTTCCCACCCACACCCCTGCTCTGCCCCCCTCCAGGGTGACCCTTCCCACCCACACCCCTGCTCTGCCCCCCTCCAGGTGACCCCCTGAGCAGTGCCCCTCGGGCTGCAGGCACGGACAGCACTGAGGCAGAGGAGGACCCCCACAAACGGCGCAAGCAGCTGCTGTCAGTGCTGGTGGGGCTGGCGGCCATGCTGGGCTATGCCTTCCTCAGCGGCATCGTCTCC